AGCAGGAATCTTTTCAGCGTTACTGTTTCCAAAAGATTAATAAAGATGTTCAGGAGGCTGAAGTGCTGGGAGATTTGTTTAATTATTCCCCACAGTCCTGCCCCAGCAATCTGCTGACATTTCGCCCCGACCTTGCAAATCCTCAGCAAATATTAATATATCAACTCAAACAGGGGCTCTTGTTTTATTGGTTCACGGAGCTCAGGAAGATTCGCCACAGCAGTGAAAAAATAATGTGCTGAACGGAGGGGGAACGGCTCCTTTGATATCACCTTCTGCTGCACACATGTGCTAGGAGCATCAACAAAATGGAAATGCCGCTCTTTTGCCACAGCTGTGGAGTGACACTTCAGATGCCTCGGCTTTCCTTTGTACAACCCGCTGGAACAGGCCCAAAAACCATGGTGGCAAGAGATTAGAAAACATATACACACAGAGAGACAGGAAGAAATTACATTTGATTATCTGACACGGTAGGGAATTTTTTACAATGGGGAAGTTTCTCTCCATGCAGCTTAAAGATTTTGGTCCAGAAAAGCCGGAAGAATGAAAAGCAGGAATATACTGTTACTACTGTTGTTGCATTTATATCCCACCTGTTTTTCCAAGGTGATGGAGTTCTCCCTCCTCATTTAATCCCCACAGCGATCTTGTGAGGTAAGTTAGTCAGTGACTTGATGAAGGTGGCACCCAACGAGCTTCATGGCTGAGTGTGGATCAGAACCAGTGTCTCCAAGTCTGACCCTCTAAACACTAAAATTCCTCACTTGTGGAGCACACACTATCAAGGGATGACTTCCAAGTGCGCGTGAGCCACTACAGATTAATTGCCACAGACAGCATTGTTTTCATTTCACCCGGCATCAATGCAGATGAATGACGGATATCATCTCCTTGTCAGCCTCCATGTTGACTCAAAGACAGAGTGTTTCCCAGGGGGCTTTTCACATGCTCATCTGAAATCAAACCACTTTCCACCTGCATGTTCTTAGCTCATTGGCTGTAGCTACAAGAATCGGCTTTTGTGCGCAAGTGAGCCAATGCAGATTAAGAAGCAACAATTGCTTACAAGGGTCAGAACCAAGCAAGACTGTTTTGTCCCCAGCATCTGGAGCTCATAAAAGCTTAGAGTTGGAAGAATGCTCAAAGTCCATCTAGTCCAGCGGTTCTCAACCTGTGGGTCCCCAGATGTTGTTGGACTACAACTCCCATCATCCCTGAGCTCTGGCCTTGCTAGCTAGGGGTGATGGGAGTTGTAGTTCAACAACATCTGGGGCCCCACAGGTTCAGAAAGGCTGATCTAGTCGATACCTGCATTGCAGGGACCAAATGACCCTCAAGATTCATTCCACCTCTACAATGCTATGATTCTGTAGAATGATAGGATGTCCATCTCGCTTCTGCTTAAAAATGAAGCTGTCTGCCCCACTGCCAAACATTTTGTATCATCAAGAAGTTGTTCCTCAGGTTTATGCCAAATCCCCTTTCCTGCAGTTTGAACCCATCGGTTTGGATCCTAACTACAGAAAACAAATTTGCTCTATGATCTGTGTGACTATTCCAAAATACACTGCCTCTGGTAACATGGTTAGATAATGGCTGTTGGTACACCTCTTTCTATGAACACTAATAAATCACAGCAATTGTGACAGTCGCCCTTCTTAGCCCAAATACAATGTGTTTCATTGGAGGAAGCCCACAAATTCAGACGTTGGTTATCAAAGGCTTGTCCACACTTGCATGGGTATCATTTAACAACTTACCGAATGCAGGAAGTAAAAGAATATGAAGAGCTTTCCTGGATCAGACCCAAGGCTTTCTGTTCTCACAGTGGTCAACCAGGTGATTTTTTTAAAAAAAATTATTTTGTTATAACATGTATATACCACCTTTTCTCCCAAGGAGCTCAAGGTTGTGTACTTGGCTCTCCTCCCCATTTAATCCTCACAGCAACCCTTTGAAGTATATTAGGCTAAGAGATGGTGACTGGCCCAAGCAGTGGCGTAGTGTGGGGGGTGCAGGGGGGGCCGGCCGCACCGGGCGCAACATCGGGGGGGGCGCGCTCGCACTCGCAGCTCTCTGCCCCTACCTGGCTCACTCACTCTCTCTCACTGCAGTGCTGGCTGTGCGAATCCGATCCGAGCCGCTGGGTCGCCGCCCACTGTGGAGGGGGTGGGTGCCAGGCGTGCGGTGCAGAGAGAGAGCGAGGGACTATCTGGGGGAGGGACAGTGCAGCGGCCGCCCAGCGCAGCGCTGAGCGGGGGAGAGAACCACACCAGACCAGACCAGGCAGCAGCAAGAAGCTGGCAGCGACGGCAGGTTAGGGGTTAGGGGGCGCAAATTACTTGCCTTGCTCCGGGTTAGGGGGCGCAAATTACTTGCCTTGCCCCGGGTGCTGACAACCCACGCTACGCCGCTGGGCCCAAGGTCACTCAGTGAGCTTCATAGCTGTGTGATGATTCGAACCCAGCTCTCCCAGAGCATGATAGCACTCTGCTGCTCCTGTTCCTCAGCAGTTGGCATTCAGAGGTGTGCTACCTGCCTCAAATCATGGAGGTAATGCATGATTCATGATGAGCAGTCGTTGATCTTATGAGATCTATAAAAGACATTTGGTTGACAGGTGCCTGGGACGGGGCCTTTTCCGTGACCGCCCCACACTTTCAGAACTTTCTTCCTGCAAAACATGAGTGACACCGCCCTACACACGCAATCAGTGGAAACTTCTAAGAAAACCCCCCAAAACATTTTTATTTCAATTTGCTTTTTTATTAATTGTCACTGGTGTTTTGACTGCTGTTGTTCTGTTTCAAAGGATATAATGCGGCTTTTATGGTGTTTGCTCGTGTATTGTCTTCTTAATATATGGTGTCCTAAATGGCAGTATAAAAATCAGGAAGTGAATAAAATAAAATAAACAAAGGGAGCGATTTGGTTTGGTGTAAAGCACTGTGGAAATTTTTATCTTACAGAGTTTGATTTGTAGTTGTCCCATTCACACATGCAAGTTGCCACTTGGCGCACACCATTGAGGGCTGGCTCCCAGATGTGTGTTCATTGCTCAATGTCTGCAGATGATGAGACAGACAGAATTTTTGAATCGTCCCCTGAAACACCATGTTTTCCTAGAGTTCTTTACAGCTGCTTTCTCCCCCCTTTTGGCATTGACTCCTCTGGCATATTTTAGGTGTCTGTTGAAGTACAAAGAGAAAGAGAAAGAGAGGGAAAAAAACCTGTTTGTGCATTTTGCCGACTTTCACTCCGTCCAGTTGCAATCTAATCACTACCCCAACCCCAAACTGTGCTGCCGAGAAAGAGATTTGAGGAGGGAAGCCTGCCTTCCTGACATTTTTGGCGTTTGGTTTCACTGAGCTATGGAGTTAATGTGTGATTAATTTGATTCATAAACATGTTAATCATTTCATTGTGTGAACTGGTTAGCATTCCCCGCAGTCAGTACAGTGGTACCTCGGGTTACAGACGCTTCAGGTTACAGTCTCCACTAACCCAGAAATAGTACCTTGGGTTAAGAACTTTGCTTCAGGATGAGAACAGAAATTGTGTGGTGGCGGCATGGCAGCAGCGGGAGGCCCCTTTAGCTAAAGTGGTCCCTCAGGTTAAGAACAGTTTCAGGTTAAGAATGGACCTCCAGAACAAATTAAGTTCTTAATCCAAGGTACCACTGTAAAGGTAAAGGTAAAGGGACCCCTGACCATTAGGTCCAGTCGTGGCCGACTCTGGGGTTGTGGCACTCATCTCGCTTTATTGGCCAAGGGAGGCGGCATACAGCTTCCAGGTCATGTGGCCAGCATGGCTAAGCCGCTTCTGGCGAACCAGAGCAGTGCATGGAAATGCCGTTTACCTTCCCGCTGGAATGGTACCTATTTATCTACTTGCACTTTGACGTGCTTTCGAACTGCTAGGTTGGCAGGAGCAGGGACCGAGCAACAGGAGCTCACCCTATTGCAGGGATTCGAACCGCCAATCTCCTGATCAGCAAGCCCAAGAGGCTCTGTGGTTTAACCCACAGTGCCACCCACGTCCCACAAGGTACCACTGTACCTTTCTTTAAACCTCTCTTTCTCTCTCTCTCATATTTAACATTTTCACATCTTTTCCCCTCTAACTTGATCTTAAACCAGGACTTCAATTGTACTGCTGCTTATGATGGGTCAGTCCTGGAATCAGCCTTCAACATCAGATTTTTCCTGCAAAAGGCCAATGTGGTGTAATGCTTGGAGCGTTGGTCTAAGACTTAGGAGTGTTCGAATCCCCACTGAGTCAGGATGCACACTGGGTGACCTTGGGCCAGACACTGTCTCTCAGCCTAACTTATTCTGCAGGGCTTCTGTGAGAATAGGTTGAGTGATATTCAATGTAAGCTTCATTAACTTGAAACCCTGCAATTTTGGATCCCCTCCAAACTGATGTCAACTTTTTGTGCTCATTTTGTGTCACAAAGCCCATGTTTTGCATCTCCCCACAAACTGAGTAATTGATACTCAAACTGGGGGCCATAGGTATCCCCCTCCTAACCCAAATTTGTCTGATTCACTTCAAACCGGTAGCAATTTGAAATAGTTTAAACGTGGGTTTTGTGACACAAAATGAGCCCAAATTGTTGGCATGAGTTTGGAGGGGATCAGGCAGTGTTGGAGTTGGGAGTGTTAACTTGGAACCCCAGTTTGCAGTATCAATTACTCACTTTGGGGGGTTGCACAAAACATGGGATATATATATACACACACACATACACACACACACACACACACACACACACACAGTGGTACCTCGGGTTTCCAGAGGTCCGTTCTTAACCTGAAACTGTTCTTAACCTGAAGCACCACTTTAGCTAATGGGGCCTCCTGCTGCCGCAGCGCCGCCGGATCACGATTTCTGTTCTCATCCTGAAGCAAAGTTCTTAACCTGAAGCACTATTTCTGGGTTGGCGGAGTGTGTAACCTGAAGCGTATGTAACCTGAAGCGTATGTAACCCGAGGTACCACTGTGTGTGTATATATATATATATATATATATATATATATACACATATACATATATATATAGACGCGGGTGGCACTGTGGGTTAAATCACAGAGCCTAGGACTTGCCGATCAGAAGGTCGGCGGTTTGAATCCCCGTGATGGGGTGAGCTCCCATTGCTCGGTCCCTGCTCCTGCCAACCTAGCAGTTCAAAAGCACGTCAAAGTGCAAGTAGATAAATAGGTACCGTTCCGGCGGGAAGGTTAACGGTGTTTCCGTGCCCTGCTCTGGTTCGCCAGAAGCAGCTTAGTCATACGGACCACATGACCCGGAAGCTGTACGCCGGCTCCCTCGGCCAGTAAAGTGAGATGATTGCCGCAACCCCAGAGTTGGCCACGACTGAACCTAATGGTCAGGGGTCTCTTTACCATATATATATATATATCCCGAAAGGAGCTTACATGCCAACAATTAAAGTGGGGGTAGGATTGCATCCTAAGACTTAAGACGCTAGTGATACAATTCAGCCACTTAATAATGTATTTGCTTCTATTTTTAGGCTGCCCTTCACCACCAGCTGGTACCCAGGCTGATTTAAAAAAAAAAAAATGACAAGAGTACTAGGTATAATTAAGATCATAAAATATAAACCACAACATAGAGCGAGTCCCACTGATTTCAGGGACTTGCTTAAGCTACCCATTGAAATCAGTGAGGGATGTGCATGGGGTTTATTTTGTCTCAATGGTGCCCTAAATTTGGACAGTGGGCACAGGAAAAGGAGTAGGAAGGACAGCAAACAGGATGAGGGGGTGGGCTGGAAGGGTAAGTGGTGAATGTTCCCAATTGTCCAGTTGGTATTTGTCTTAAGAATGCCCATCTCATCATCAATAGTAGCAATGAGTCAGAGCCACTAAACTCTTGATACTTCTTAAATCCACAAAGCCTTTATTTAATTTACAGGGATGGAGGGTTGAGCCTAGTTTTACACTGCAGGAGTCTTTACTTCAGAATGGTGATTCCTGATGTTTTCTGTCAATGGTGGTGATTTTGGCCATCAGGGCAGATTTTTTTAGAGTACCTGGAAGGAATCCAGAGTAAGCTGGGGCAGGCTCTGAAATACTGGACACCTACTTCAGATGAAATGGGATGCACACAGTGGTGTTGCTTTTGTTCAGTCCAAATGATAATTAATCCAACAAAATAACATCACCTCTTGATGAAATCTCCCTTAGTAAAGAGGATTCAAAACACCAATTTAGCCACAGTTCTGCTATTGAAAACTGAGGAGGGAAGTCTGCCCTCTCTTCAATGAGAGCTCTTGAAATCTGTTGAGAAGAAATTAACCTGTGTGTAAACCAGTGTCGAGTCTGCTGCCCTGAGAGGTGAAATCACACACCCCTTTTACATTGCTTTTAATTAATCTGGAATAACCACTAACCCTTCTCTCTATAAATCCAGGTCACTGACATCCATTAGAATCACCACTTCACACATAGAGATGCAGTGAAATACTGTGCTGGCTGGGGAATTACTTTTATTCTCTTATTGTCTCTCTCTCACTCACACACACACCCTTCCCTACCTGTGTGTTTTCAAAAAGGTGGTTAGTATGTGAGCCAGTGGGATGTAACTAGTCTGTGGGAGCAAGTCTGTGTGGGAGCAAGTCTTGTTGAATCCAGTCAGACTTAATTACTTCTGAATAAACATGCATTGGGTCCAGCTGCACATAAATTTATATGGAGAGGGAGAGAAAAAGTGATCTTTGTGTATTAGTGTATATCTGTTCTATGGAATATGATGAAGAAGATAGATTGTGGGTCTTGGATGGCTACAGACAGATGCCAGTTGAGTTGGCTGGATCACTCTTTGCTGTATAGCTCAGTCCTACTGTATAAGTTTACTCGGAAGTAAGTGCAAAGTGGCTTACTGCCACCATGTTGGCGGGATTATGTACATTAACTTGGAAGTGAAAGCCACTGAAGAAAACAGAACTTACTTCTGAATAAGCATGCAGTAGGCTTGGACAGTTAAAAATTGCCTACCCACAAAATCCAGATTGCATGAGAAGACCCATATATACATTAACGGAAATATAAGCAATTCTCAGAATGATTAGGGAAGGGAACAAAGGTTCCAACACCCTTCACCCCAATCCTAGCAGCAGGGCATATATATTGTGCTTAAGATAAACAAGCACTTCAGAGAAATTGAGAGACGTGTTTACTCATAAATTAACCCGACTGATTTCTATGGGACTGACTTCAAAGTAGAAGTAAATAAATAATAATAATAATAAATAATAATAATAATTTATTATTTATACCCTGCCCATCTGGCTGGGTTTCTCCAGCCACTCTGGGTGGCTCCCAATAGAATATTAAAAACATGATAAAACATTAAACATAAAAAACTTCCCTAAACAGAGCTGCCTTCAGATGTTTTTAAAAGTCAGATAGTTGTTTATTTCCTTGACATCTGATGGGAGGGTGTTCCACAGGGCGGGCGCCACCACCGAGAAGGCCCTCTGCCTGGTTCCCTGTAACTTGGCTTCTCGCAGGGAGGGAACCGCCAGAAGGTCCTTGGCGCTGGACCTCAGTTTCCGGGCTGAATGATGGGGATGGTAATGCTCCTTCAGGTGGCCTAAGCCCCCAGACCAAAGATGGGTCAAACAAACAACATCCTCAAAACAAACTTGAGGCCTACTGAAGCCGATTTTGTGGTGTATGTATGTGTGATACAAACACACATCAGGGGCAGACTTTGGTAATATGGAGCCCTTTGTGAGGCCCAAATTTGATTTCTGCCCCCTGCCCCCCTGCAGCCCTCATGCAGCCTTCCCAAAGTCAGCTAAGCTAGGCACTGGGCTTTGGGGAAAAGGTGTGAGGTTTTTGCAGGGTCCTAGAGCTCTCTCACTTCCTTCCCCAAGCTGGGCAAGTACTAACTAGGCTTTGGGAGTTGTGCTGCCCAAATCTGCCTCTGCAGAGAAAGTTGGCTTTCTCAAGATTTCTGTTACTTCCTTTTCAACTAACACAATTAAACGGTTAAAAATCGAGACCCCAGTGTAGTAACTGGTTAAAATGGATAAGATATGCCAGAATAGCCTCCTGGCTCAGCTGTGGAGATGTTCAGTGTGGCTCCTCAGGATCCTACCCTTGCTCATCCCTGTGGATCAGATTGCTCCCAAAGGGTCCTTCCCTTCACCCTCACCCTTAAAAACATCCCCAGCAGACAGAACTTCCATGCTGCCTCCAAGTCAAGTGAGGTAAACAGTTCAGTGACGTTTCAGCTGAGATGATGCTGTAGGGAGGAGAAAGGAAGTGGAAAGGGAGGAGCATCAAAGATCTTCACCATGTTGGGCATACAAAAGCTGGAGAGGAGGTCACCAGACTGCAACACTCTTCATCCCTAACCACTGGTCATGCTGGCCAGGGCTGAGGGGAAGCACGATGACATCTGGAGATCTACGATTTCTCTAGTGTTGAATCTAACATTTAAAATATACGTTACCAGATTTCTTTAACCAGCCAACCCCATTCAAATGCGCCCATAAGCAAGTAAAACTTGCATGCCTGTCTGATCTTCAGGATTGGGAACTAGGGCTTAAAGAAGAGCAAGGCATCGTAGAACTGTAGAGCTGGAAGGGACCGCGAGGGTCATCTAGTCCAACCCTCTGGAGTGCAGGAATTGTTTGCCTTACCACCAGCCTGAGATTAAGAGTCTCCTGCTCTATGACTGAGCGATCCCAGCATGAGTTCATTTGCACTCCATAGTTTTCACCTGGGTACACACACTGAGGTGCATTCACAAACACACCTGCATTCACATTTTATAGTGTTTCATAAAAACATTAATGGTGTGTGGTGAACTGGGGTGGGGGGTGGGGCATGAAGTAAAGGTAAAGCGACCCCTGACCATTAGGTCCAGTCGTGGCCGACTCTGGGGTTGCGGCGCTCATCTCACTTTATTGGCCGAGAGAGCTTCTGGGTCATGTGGGTCATGACTAAGCCACTTCTGGCGAACCAGAGCAGCGCACAGAAACGCCGTTTACCTTCCCTCTGAAGCGGTACCCATTTATCTACTTGCACTTTGACGTGCTTTCAAACTGCTAGGTTGGCAGGAGCAGGGACCGAGCAACGGGAGCTCACCCCGTCACAGGGATTCGAACTGCCGACCTTCTGATCAGCAAGTCCTAGGCTCTGTGGTTTAACCCACAGTGCCACACGCGTCCCTTCCAGGGCATGAGGTAAAGGTAAAGGGACCCCTGACCATTAGGTCCAGTCGTGAACGACTCTGGGGTTGTGGCGCTCATCTCGCTTTATTGGCCAAGGGAGCCAGCGTACAGCTCATGTGGCCAGCATAACTAAGTCACTTCTGGCAAACCAGAGCAGCACATGGAAATACCGTTTACCTTCCCGCCGGAGTGGTACCTATTTATCTATTTGCACTTTGACGTGCTTTCAAACTGCTAGGTTGGCAGGAGCAGGGACCGAGCAACGGGAGCTCACCCCGTCGCGGGGATTTAACCTTCTGATCGGCAAGTCCTAGGCTCTGTGGTTTAACCCACAGCACCACCCGCGTCTGTTTGCCCAAATCAAATTGGGGTGGGTGGTGAGGAACACACACATCCTTTGATGACAGCCACCGGCTTTTAAAGCTTTCAAAGATGGTTAAGATGAACTCACAGAGTGAAGGAGCTCTGCTCTTGTCTGTGAGCCACAATAGCTAGATAGAACTATAATGTTTAGAAACAGTCTGCCAACAAAGAGCAATTGCTGGTGGAGGTGGGCAAACACTGGGGGAGGGGGAGCTGTATTTGGTTGGACGATGAGGAGGATAGGAGTCTAGACCAGATCGATATGGACCTATTCTTGTGCAAAATCTTGCTCAATGAGTTGCTTCTTCCCCTCCTTTGGGCTCCTCTCATTTTAAGAGTGGAAGCACTACAGTAAAGGGTCTGGTTCTCTCTCTCTCTCTCTCTCTCTCTCCTACACTCTCTTTGTAAGAGTCTCTCATCCAACAAGGACGATTGAAACTTTATAGCGCATGATTCATAGGCCGGATCTGTTCTCGGAGCCAGGGGGGCGCATATTA